AACCTTCACAGAACAATTTGCCGTGTCCTAACCAACCATTCTATGTAGAGGGGACGGTTTCAAATAGTACACAGGTTGCAAACCGGAACGGACTCAATATTCACTTTCTCTCTTCGTATTTTGATTAGAAAACATATGTCACAGTGAGACTACGATGTGTTATACTCCGAGCCAAAATTTCATGGCTCTGCGATGACCAGGAGCGCCATACCAAGCAGGTGAGTTTTGACGTGTTGCTTCGCACTGCGACTTGAGTTTTACGACTTTCGAAAAATCAACTTCTTGTCGCAGGTAAACAGCGGCTCGCCTCTCGCCAATGAAGCACCGCATACCAATAGAAACTAATGGAAGCACACACAAGGCTTATTGTTACTCTGTACTGGCCGTCGTGGAGCGATAGCAATTACCTAATTTCAGACCCAGAGTGAATTTGACGTGCACTCTAAAACGTGTCCGGTTTGGAGCCACCTCTGACTTGAACTTTTTTGAAGCGAAAAATTGGGCAACTTGGAGGCAATGGGTCAACACAAAGGAGTGGCTCAGTTCGATTGACTCTGGCCCCAGAGCAAACTTCAACATGCCAGTTTCCTTCCACAAACATATTTCGAGTGAAAAATCAACGCTGATGATCGGTTTGGGTCTATACAAATTTGGCTGTCAAAGCGTCCCGGTATCGAGCCGTCCCCTCTACTTTGTTGTCCAATTTTCCCTTATCTTCATACTTTTTAAGACCCAAACCTGATTGCATTTCTTTTTGAAACGAACTGTAGATTCCCAAGCACCTATCTTGACCACCCAGCCAACAGGGTGCTGATGCTGAAGTTGGTTGAAAGATTTATCTTAGGTCTGTAACACGCAATGCTGCCTACACATACCGTAAAATCCTGTCAGAGCGTCCCTACTTCCTCGACGATTCAGGTGGGGAGGGGTAGATGAGCGAGTTCTACTTGCCGCATTCAGTATTACATGAAAAGGTACTCACCCTACAAAAACTGTTCGTGCATCTCGTACACCGACCAAAGGTCAAGAGCCAGGAGTCGTACAGACCCATCAAAACTCAGGGTTTGTGCGATCCCTGGTCAAGAGGGTGGGCACTGTTGCGTACATTTCCAACGGGGTTGAGGACGCGTCTGCAGTACAGTACGGCATCACAGACTGCGAGAGAGTCATACGAGGATACAATCAATCACGTCCCTGACAAGAAGTCAGGGCCTAGGGAGATGGGAGAGACGGGGGCGCTCTGGCGGGATTTTACGGTAATAGTATACTGGGATACTAAAAAAGCTATTTTGGACCAGTATTTCAGGCCAGACCAACGCATATGGCCGATTGGTTTGCAGGCCTGCCTGCGAATCATGAGGTCCCGAGTTCAAGACCCGCGCTGGTAGCAGGGAGCGTGTAAAAAGACTTTTTACGCGTGCTGAACTGCGCCGACACCCACGGTCAACTGGGTACTCACAGCTCGGAGTGAGAATAACAAGGATGCAGTTTACAGGGTTATGGGCCGTTACACGCCCGATTGGTTGAGAGACTAACCTCCTCTCCCCTGACTCACTTGTAAGGTCTGCATTCGCCACTAAGGTTAATAGGCATAGTGGTGGCCTGCGGATGCGAAGGCTAGTTTGTGTGTTTCTGAACATTCAAGCGATGCCGACGCGGATCCCGCGAATATTATTATTATTATTTCAGGCCAAAAACGAAGCTAGGTATAAATAGAATAAACACCTCTGTCTTGTGTTTATGGGAATATAAACACTGTCTATAAAAACCTCGGCTACGCCTCAGTTGTTATGGCAGTGTTTATATTCCCATGAACACTACAACATCGGTGTTCATTCTATACATAATCCATGGGTGTCGATATTTGTGATAATAACATGGTTATGATTTTCCAATCTAAGACAAAAACTAATGTGGTTCACCAGCATAAGCACGGTTGCAGCACAGGCAAAGTCTGGCATCTCTGACTGGTACAGGAGCCAATATTGAGTCATTCTTCAATGTACAGGCAGAGTGGTGTATAACCTACCGAACCACTCTTGTCCACTTTGGCTTTACACTTGACAAGGTGCTTGACAATATCGATGTCACCTCCCATACATGCTACATGTAGTGGAGTGATGTGCGGCCGCCGGAAAGACCACTAAGAACAGCGTAGGTAGTGTAGGCATGTGTACACCCACACACACCACACACCCCAGCTCAACAACACACACGAACACACACACACACAGAACACACACACACACACATGCACATGCACACACACACACACGCACACAAGCACACATGCACACACACACACACACACACACACACACACACACACACACACACACACACACACACACAGAACACACACACACAAATACACATTCACATAAACACACACATACAGCCAGACATATACACACATATACACACATACACACACACACATACACACACAAACACACATACAAAGAACACATAAACACACACACACACATACACACACACATGCGCAAAGGCACATATGCACAAGCATAGCTGCATGATTAGTCGCAATGGTATAGCAATGTTCAGTCTTGAAGAACATTGTTGAGATCGCAAGGGCCTGTAGAAACATGCCCTGCAAGTTGTGGATCTGATTTCTTGTAATTGGTATGTATAGTGAAGATGTTGCACTGTATTATACCTATTGACTGAAGCCATACTAAACAATGGTCATGGTTATGTACACTGTATCCCAAGCAAATTTTAATCTTGTAGAAAATGTCTGCAATGCTCTGCTCGTTGTTGTCTGAACAATAGAAGTAGGGACTCTACTGACTCACTCAGTACCCTTGCTGGAAGCACACAAAGAGGTACTCGATAGGGGATAAGGCAGGGTAAGGGTAATGGATTGACATACATCATTACTTCACATACGGCAGGTCAACAGGAGATCATCCTATGACATAACTATCCATTAGTGACTTCGCTTTAAAATATTTTTTTAAGGTAAACCCTATTTGATTAAAAGGTCCATAATGATAAACGTAGAAAGGAAAAGGACATATGGATACGAGTTAAGAGTAACTCTCCATCACTGTAACTGGATACTATATACAGTCAGAAAGTGAAATAACTAGGCACAAAACTGACAAGAGTACTGAGACATTCGACGTATATAGTATCCAGTTGCAGTGATGGAGAGTTACTCTCAACTCGTATCCATATTACCGTAAAGTCGCGGATAAAAGCCGAGTTTGCATACAAGCACATCGCGGATAGAAGCCTGAAAATCAAAGTGGTCAAATGCATATAAGCCTGTCGCACGTAGAAGCCTGGCTTCTATGCAAGCGCGGATCGGGTGGGTCAAGACTCAAGAGTGCACGCGCTATGTACGGTGCATAGTAAAACTGCCGCCATACCGGTAATCAGTGGTAGATCTACGCGTGTTGCGCGTAGAAGCCTGGCATAAAAGCCTGGGAAAAATACCAGTGGTGCATATAAGCATGGTTTGCATACAAGCCTGGTTTGCATTGAAGCCTGATGCAGAAAGCGGCTTATGTGCTTATAAGCCTGGCTTTATCCGCGACTTTACGGTATGTCCTTTTCCTTTCTACATATATTTATGGCTCAACATCCGCGTTTCAAATAATGATAAACCCTTTGGAATTTCAAGGTAGAGTACTCCTGACCTAGCTAGACATTGACCTGCAAGTCCTGTTTGAGCAGAGTGATACCACCAGTATCACACACTTGCATCCACCTATTCTACTCAATCTGGCAATTGAGGAATGTCACACTGTTCTCACTACAGCAGTCAGTATCTTATAAAAGCATTTTGGATCAGGCAATAGACACCCTTAGCAAAAAACGTTATGTTGTAACGGTATTACCGTAAGGGGAAATACCGTGATTTGGGTTCGACCTTTAGCAAGATGCACGCTATTTTTAGTAGGCTGTTGCCACGAGAATAGCTTTTATTTCGCGCGGTACAACCATTTATGTCACCATATACGCAATACAAGGTGAAATGCGTACGGACTATGCAATATTTGGCCAAAAAACGTACCGTTGGTCACAACGATAAATCAGCCCCCGTAACGTTTTTACGCTCCAGCTTCAACGCTATTTGCGTGGTCAAGGTACGAGTACTGTAAAAAATAGCGTTACTGTTGTTTGCTAAGGGCGTCTATTATCAGAAGTACTGCCGGGCGGAGAAGAACGAAGTGCCGAAGAATTTCCCAGCTAGAATTTTACCAAATACAGCATACCAATGTATACACGGTAACTCAACTGTGCATAGACTGTAGTAAATGATAATAAGAACAGTCTAGGCTAGGAGGCTCCCCCCCCCCCCCCATCACACCCAGTTCTTCGACGACCGACAGTACTGTAGCTAAGTTGCTAATTTGCGCTGAGTGATATGTTTACTTCCTGAATGCTGTGTTTCACTCATATCTGACATAAAATCACGCCGCAGAACGAGACTCTCGTACTTAAAAAACTTGTAGTTCCTTGGTCCTTTTTCTCCTTCTATAAATTAAAAAAACTTATTAAATTGATGTACCTCCTAACTCCCTAACACCCTCCCCCCCCCCCCCCCCCCCCGCCCCTAAAGTGTTCACATATACATGCATGGACTGTCATATGCATGTATGCACGCGACACCGTTTGTGCTCCTATCCATTTACATGTTCCGCTTCCCCTGTACGCATGCACGCACACCACTACATTCTGTTGGCATTATGTCACAGAGCTTTCCAGAGCTAGTTGTTGTTTGGAATAAAGCAAGAGAACAACATTACACCCCCCCCCCCCCTTACATCCCCCTCTTACCTAAAATTACACCACCCTTACCTAACATTACATCCCCCTTACCTAACATTACCCCCCCCCCACCCCCATACCTAACATTACACCCCCCCCCCCCTTACCGAACATTACCCCTCCCCCCCACCCCCTTACCTAACATTACACCCCCCTTACCTAACATTACCCCTCCCCCCCCCCCCTTACCTCAAAGAAAG